GCAAACAGTTGATGTGGCATGGTATAAATGTAAAGTAGAACTATACATCCCAAATCCTATGAGGTGTAAAAATTGCCAACGCCTGGGTCATTCGGCAAAAAGATGCACTAGTGCTGCATCTTGTGCTAACTGTGGTCTTCCTCCATATGTTGAAAGCTGTACCCGTAGTTTCTGCATAAATTGCAATGATCAACACTCAGCGTTAGACAAACAATGCCCACGTTTTATACAAATGCGTGAAATAGTAAAAATCAAAACAGAAAATTACTGTAGCATGAGCGAATCGCGACGCACATACCGGGAAAGAAATCCATCTGTAGCCCAAGGAATTGGCAAAAGTAATACCTACGCTGCTGTTGCCTCGCAAAAGAAGCCTAGTAAGCCTTTAACTCCAACTCCCTCCAAAGAAAAACCTGTTCCACTATTAACCAAAAATTATATTGCGAAATCAGTTCCATCAGCCACCAAAGATAAAATTAAAAAAACCAAACCAACACCAAATATTGAAAAAATTGAAACAACAACATATATGCTAAAATCTAATATGCTAAACTCTCCAGAATCTCCAGCTCACAACTCGTTGCGCTTCAAATGTACCAAACTACCTAAGTACAGATTATTCTACTGGTAAGAATAAATCTCTCCCGAAAAATTCCTATAGCGACCTTCTCGACGGAGACGCTGACATGGCAACCTAATCCTCCTTCCACTCTGCTTCCATGTCATTACAATTAAATAAAGTTTTTAAAATTCTACAATGGAACATTAAGGGACTTATTAATAATTTTGATGAACTCCGTACACTCATAAGTGATTTTAATCCAACATTTTTTTTCGCTTCAAGAAACTCATTGTAGAAGCTCTTTTAATCCTACTCTACCCAAATCATATACTGGATACTTCACGAATGCTGATCAAAATTCATATTCCAAACAAGGAGTTGGTGTTTTTATAAAATCAAATAGACCTCGCAAACGCATAAATTTAAGCTCAAACATACAAGCCGTAGCGATACAAATAATATTAAACATGAAATTTACAGTGCTTTCGCTCTATCTCCCACCTTCGCAATCGTTTTCTCAGCAAGAATTCTACAATTGATTCTCCATATTGGTCTATTTTTAATGATCTGCATAATAGCGATCACTTTCCAATCATAATCGATCTTAAACTTTCAACGTGCACTGTTACTCCAGTAAAACAGGCCAAATTCCTCCTAGATAAAGCGGATTGGATCAACTACTCCAAACAGGTGGAGTCATTTTTGAATTCAAACCCATTTAACGGGAACTGCAACCATGATGCTGCTATTATGTCTAAAGCGATTCGCACGGCTGCTCATGTTTCTATTCCTCAACCCAGCACCTCTTTTAAACGAGCTAGGGTTCCTTGGTGGAACAACACGCTTTCGTTTTTGAGGAAAAATAAAATGGATCTATGGCACTGCTTTAAGAGATGTCCTGATCAGGATCATTTGTTATTATGCAAAAAGGCCAATGCTCTATTCAGAAAGGAACTACGAAAATCAAAGGCACTTAGTTTCGAACTTTTTTCAAGAGGAATTCACAGAAATACATCAATGAAAGTTGTCTGGAACAAAATCAACAGACTTAATGGGACTTCAAATCTGAACGAAATTTCTGCCATCTGCACTCCCAATGGAACTTTAACTGACGCAGGTGAGATTTCTAATTACTTTGGAAAAATGTGGTGCGAATACTCCTCTGACAGCAACTTCTCCAGTGCTTTCATTGAAAATAAAAGGACTCCAATATCTCCTCCAAATAATATCGATAGATGTGCCATGTTCCTGGAAAATTGCGTATCTACCTCAGAACTTGGAAGTTGTCTCTCCAATTTGAAGGGGAAGACACCTGGTCTAGACCGCATCTCACACCAAATGATCAGCGCTATGTCTAAGTCTAGTAAAAAGAAATTACTGGATCTACATAATACGGTATTTTTGACTGGCCATATACGCTACATGTGGAAACTGGCAATAGTTGTTCCAATTCCAAAGTTAAAAAAATGTCTCCATCGCATCAGATTATCGCCCAATTTCTCTTTTATCTTGCCTCTCTAAGGTTTTAGTGAAGATTATGGCATCTAGATTATCTTGGTTTCTTGAGTCCAAGAACCTGATAACAAAGCAACAAGTTGGTTTCAAGCGGGGTAGAGGATGCATCGACGCTCTGTTACATATTGATTATTTCACAAGCAAAGCAATTTCCGAACGAAATCACGTAACAATTCTCTCAAGTGATTTGGACAAAGCATTTGACAGAGTTGGTCTTCATGTTATCTTAAGACTCTTGAAATCATGGAATGTTGGACCCAAATTCTTCAACTACATCAAATCATTGATGTCGCATCGGCGTTTCAGTTAGAATCAACAATCATCTTTCTGATTCTTTTCCGCTAATGAATGGCATTCCGCAAGGATCTCCTCTCTCTGTCATGCTTTTCCAGATCGCCTTCAACAGAATTAGCAAAATTCTTTGCCGTGTACCAAGAGTGGAACATTGTCTCTACGCGGACGATGTATACATTTTTACAAAAGAAAAAGACAACACGAAAGCAATCAACATCCTCGAATCTACTGCACGAGAGATCTCCACATGGGCAAACTCGTCAGGGGCTAAAATTTCTATACAAAAATCTTAAAAAATGCACATTTGTCGAAAAGAAATGTGCGATGCAGGAAACATACTGATGCATATTAACGACTTACTAGTACTAAATGTGCAGACACTCCATGTTCTCGGGCTCAGGTTTTCCAACAAGCATTGTTGGAAAGCACGCTGTCTTCGATTAAAAATTTCTATTTTAACAAGGGTGAATTTCATATAGTACGTTGCTTGGAGAAGCCATGCGCATATTAACACTATTGCTTATCTTACCAAAATGCTTGTGTTAAGCAAGATTGACTATGCTTTGATAAATTATGGTAATAGCTGCAAATCTAATATCAACATCCTTTAGCTGGTCCATCACCAAGCCGTCAGAGCAAGTTGTTATGCATTTCGGACGACGCCCATAAATAATATTATAATTGAAACTGGTCTCCCAACTTTAGAAAATAGACTGTATGAGTTAAAAGCTAAAATATTCCCCAAGCTTCTTAATTCAAACAAATCCATTCTCGGTGATAACGTAAGAAAGATTATTATTGCGAAGAAAATTCCAAAGTCACCATCTGCAATTGACCATTGTTGGTGCGTCGCAAAGGAATTGAACATTCCCTTAAAAATTTCCCCGCTCTTTTGGTGTTAAACCTCCCTGGATTTTGAAAGACTGCTCTTTTGACATCTCACTGTCTATGCACAAGAAAGAAGATACTCCAAATTACGTCTTCAGGAATCTAATAGCTGAAAAAATCCGAGTATTGGAGGGTACTGGTTGGAATCTTTTTTACATAGACGGCTCAAAGTCTTCTGGTCTGCCTCCTGCTTGTGCGGTGGTAGACGCTACAGGACGGGTTCTTCTCAACCACATATTTCACGAAAGTACTTCAACTTTCACAACCGAAGCCAGAGTTATCCTCCATGCTGTGAACTTTGCCCATAAAAACAAATTCAAAACCGTCATTGTTATCGACAGTTTGTCTGTATTACTAGCTATTCGGAAACCTTCGACTTCGAGATGGAGCACCATCAACAAACTAAGAAATATAATAACAACACCCGATGGAAAAATTAAAATGTTATGGGTACCAAGTCACATTGAGTGGCAAAGGATGCTGCTTCTGCTCCTTTAATTATGGATGATGTCATGGAAAAGTTGAATCTTCAAAGATACATTGGAAGAAAAGTTAAAGAGAAAATTGCAGAAGGAAATTTACAATAGCATCATCAACACTGCTCTTCCATTAACCACCAATTAACTCCACCTTTATATCCAACAAATGTTGAGAAAACCAAGATCTATTTTCGAGAATTCGCCTTGGTCATACAATTGCAACTCACCAATGGATCCTGAAGAAGTCTTCTTCCCCAATCTGCTGTTGTGGACAAACTCTTACTATGAAGCATATTCTCTGCGACTGCATTTGGAACGATCAACCCTTTGAACATTCTACAATCAGCTTCAGAACAGAATATCAATTCTATACATTACTTTATTAATACTACTAAGCTCATTATCTAATGTACATTTTATTATTCTTTTTTATAATTAGAGCCGATAGCCTAGTGCTTAATGTATTTTTTTAGTCTAAGAATTTATTTCATTAGACTAAAATTAAAATAATAATAATAATAATAATAATCAGTGGGATCAAAACATCACATCTCTCTAGAAAATCATCTTTACAAGCATCCTGTATCAAAAGCGACTTTGCCCACCCCACCTTCCAGTAAAATATGATGATTATAGTGAATTTTTCGGCCAATTGGGTGCAAAATTTTGACGTCATATATCAACAGTAGCGTTCTACGCAACCATATCCTAAAGGAGCGAATTTCTACTATAATATTTTTTCTGTGTTGTCTGGCGATTTGGCTGAATAAATAGAATATCAACATCTCAGGTAAATGCGGCTGAAAAACCTATGCAAATAACCTTTGTTCACTAGTTTTGAGTGGCAATTAAATCGCGAATAATAATTGAGTAAACCATCACGGTTAATATATTGATGAGGCACACAACAAGGAAAATGAAAACACCGTGTAAAAGCTAAATGCCAACGATTCAATTTGAGAAGTAGTAGATTCGTCAATTCCTCAAGAAATCCATTCTAGAGAATGGATGCATTTTATGTGAAATTATCGTCGCACTCAGTTGGACCTATATCATGCTGTTACGAGGAACACGTAGTAACTCAAGTACAGGAAATAATTATTCTAAGACTTTTCGTTTAATTGTTAATAGCCTTTCGTCTGCAAACAAACTTTTCAAAGATGAAAAGCATTTCCCTTTTTTTTTTTTAATAGTGAATATGCAACACTGCTAGATTTTTTTTTTTCTTATTTATTAAAACATAAAAAATCAGCTGTTTGCTTGCACATATGTCATCATCCTTCCATCGAAATTTCTTGAGTAATCAGGAACTAAACTATGAATAGCTTAGGTAAATTAAATAGTTTGATTAACAAATCGATGCATTTTGCAGGATGCAGTGTAAGTTGAGTGCTTTTTTTGGAAAAAAACGATTATTACGGTTATTTGTAGCTTCAGCAAATTCGTACCAAGTATGCGGATTGGAGAATGATACGTGATGTTAAACGTCGCAAATGTGTAAAAGAACATGCCGTAGAACGATTAAGAGTTAACGCTTTGCGCAAGAACGACATATTGCCTGCAGAGTTAAGAGAAGTTGCCGATGTCGAAATAGCCGCGTTTCCTCGGGACTCATGCTTGGTACGTGTGCGTGAACGCTGTGCGTTAACCTCACGTTCCAGAGGTGTAGTGCATAAATATCGTTTAAGTCGTATTGTTTGGCGTCATTTGGCAGACTATAACAAACTTTCGGGCGTGCAAAGGGCAATGTGGTAGATAAGCAGTCAAATTTATTTTAATTAAAACTAAATATATATATAAAATGATTACTATGAAAGAATCGAAATTTCATTTAGTCAATAGAGGGCAAGTATGGTTTTAATTCTAAAAGATTGATGCAATTATGAGTACTGGCCAGAGCGCGCTTATAACTTTCTTTACACAGTTCAGGATAACGCTCGGACATTTCTAAAACGGTTTCTGCAAAAGTAAGCAATTTGTTTTGTAATTATTTTAAATAATTTTAAATTAAGGTACATGTACGTTTGATAGCTGCTTGTAAGCGCACTTCAGGACCATCATAATGCAAAAACAACAAGTCCATGCAACGTTTGAGGAATGTATCCCATATATCTTGTTCGTAGTTTTTACTAGGTTCATCGCCAAACTTCGGTTTCAGTTTCGGTATGATCGATGCGGCCAAAATTCGAATCCCTGAAGATGGATCATTTATGCGCTGCAAACAAGCTACAAGGCATTTCGTTACAAATTCAAAAAAGCATAAAAGCAAATATACCATAAGCAATCGGCTTCAAATCGTCTACTTGCAAGTCACCAAAATTGTTGAGGCATTTAATTGCATAATGGCGTGTAACCACAGCACGATCCTCCATTAAGGTAGGCATATACTTAGCAAAATGTGGCAACACAAAACCTGCTTCCTGTGGAGCTCCTTGAGACAAAGCACATAAAGTAGCTGTAGCGAAGGAGCGCATTGCTTCAGCATTAGCTCCAGCATGCCATTGTATATGAGGCTCAATAATTCTGGTTGCAAATTCCTTCAGTAAGACGCTACTTTTTTCCACTTGTCCTTTAATCGTTTTTTGCCAGTCTAACATAGCTATGGATATAGCGCTGAATATCTTGATTTTCGAGTCGTCAGCGCATTGTTCAAACACTATACCGACTTTTTCTTGCAATTGCGTCAAATAAGATTCCCGAAACTTTACTAACTTTATTAGACCATATAACAGAAGAATAGGTTCACTAAGCGCATCCAATGGGGCATCAATATTTTCTACGCAATCTAAAGCACTTTTAAAAAATTTCTCGTGCACATCATCCATTGATGTATTCCGACGACTTGCAATTCTTTTCAATATTATCGAACCATTGTCCTGCAACTCAGAACCGTTGGTTTGCTCAGACTCTAGAGCTAACGCCATTACTTTTATAGTTGCAATATAACAATTTTTGTGCATTTCCTCAAATTCTGATATATTTTGCTTTTCATCAATGTCACACTGAGTTTTCGCAAGAATTGTTTCTACCATTTTCAGAATATAGGATTGGAATCCGGGTTTAAGGGTTTGTGAAAAATCCGATTGTATCAAAATTTTCGATAAACGTAAATTATCATCAAATTTTACACCTAATGCAGGCGTGTACATGTAGTAGAAACAAATTAAATATCCTTCTTTGGCATTGCGTTCCAATCCATCAAAACCATGCTCACACCAATCTTCGTATTTCAATAAACGGCCCAGAAGGTCCGAGACTTTGAATGCCTCCTCTACTACAACAGATTCAGTATCTCGGCAAGCTCTAGCTAAATCAGCATAAATTTCAAAAAACTTGGCCGTCATCGTAGCTTCTGCATGCAATACAAACTGGTACAGCAGCTTAAGTGAATGTAAGCGAACATTTTCCTTCCAATCTGAAGATTCACGTGTAATTAATTTTAACAGACGTAACGAACGCTGAACCAGACCTCGGCATCCTATCGTTGGACGCATAACATCGATTGGATAATTTGGTGATGGTAAATCGCCAATTTCTTGTTTACTTAATTCGGCTTCATTTTCTTCGTAGTACTGTTTGCCACATTTTATCCACAATGGTACTATATACTCGCGTACTTCCGGAGAATCATCTTTTAAACTACAGTAAGTGCAAAAGTCATATAAATATATATATATATATATATATATATATATATATGCAAATTTTGTTTACTTACCAACATAGAACTAACGGAATAATACGTTCAAAATACGAATACCGATCACGCAATTCCAACAACAAACGAACACCCATTTCGCCACATTCACGCCTTACGAGAGGCATCGGGTCCATTAATAGAGGAGAAACTTGCATTATCAAACATGAAAGCGCATTACCAGAAGCGTCAATGTGCAAGGCTACATAACCTAGAGCATTGACAGCAGTTATGCGAGCGGTAGAATGCTTATGATTAAGCATTCCATATAAAGCTTTAGCCAAAATATTGGAAAATGCTTGAAATTTACAGGAATTTGCATTTGAAGCTAACAGAGCAACGCATGCGCAGGCTTCTCTTTGTACAGAGGGGTAGAGATCGCGTAAAGCTTTATTTAAAATTCGCACAATATCGCTATAACATTCTTCCAAAGAATGTTTATTGCCAGTATTAATGAAGTAACTTTCAAGCTTCAATAATTGTTGCACAAATAATAGGCGTATTTCTTCACTCTCCTCAAGGGTTTCCTGTTGGCCAATACGATCGGTTAAAGTGGCCACGACGTTTAACAAATGAAAATCATTCGGTGGCATACGTTCCATAAACACATTTACGGTTCGTATTGATTGTTCGCGGACACTTTCAAATCGATCACTGTAACATTTCAACAAATTCAGATAACAACCATCAAACACTTGCTGAATATCCTGCGATGACGTACTCTTTGTTGCCACAATTTCCTGCTGCAATTTTTCCAAAGCAGCCAACTTTGCTTGACGATCGGTTGTTTGTAATTTTTCGCATAATTCATCGGCATTAAAGAACATGCTTTCAAAGTGTGATTGATTCTGTTAAGTTTCGTCAACTAATTTGTTTGCTTTCAAAATTATTTTTCAGGCATTTGAAAAATAACACAATGCTTAGTAACATTATTCAATTAATGCTATGGATACTATGATATATTGTGTGCAGGGTAGGTTGCACAAATAGTATATAGTGAAGCACAGGCTTTTACACGCAACAAATTGAACTATTTTATTTCGTTTTACGTTTGCTATCTGTGGTCTGTAATTTATCAAAGATACGGACACTTTTGCCTTTGTTTATTTCGTGCTAAGCTAAATAATGACAAATTAAATTTATACGTATATTGATTGATTTAACAACACTGACCATCAGCTGGTCTCTGTTTAATATTTTTTAAGGTCGACGAAATTATCAACTTTTTTACTATAGTGTTTTTGTTACATTTTACTATGGATTAAGTTAAATGAATGAAAATCGTTTTGATAATAAAGTTGTTAACTCATAAAAGTGTTTTTCAAACTTGTCAGATTGCTGGCGCTTACGTATTTTATATAAAATATCGAAATTTTATTCAATATATTTAACGGGAATTCACTCAACACAAAAAAAGAGCAATTTTCAAATTGTTAATAAAGTAGCCATTGATATTTAATCCGAACGTGCGTATTTCAGCGATTTATTTTTTTTGTTCACACAATTGCGTCCTTTATATATAAATAAACAAATACTTGCTTTTCGAATAAACGAGACATGGAAAAGCCCGAAAGTAGACATGTTAACCGCAACCGAAAACCGCCTATCGAAACAACAAATCTTATTGATTTTTCCTTTTGCGATCATAAATCAATATTTGAAATTTTGATATATCATGATGATCATTATTGTAACATCATAGACGATAAAGCTGACTTTTGGAAATTTGTTAATAAATATGAGAATATGTTAAAAAATATTTGTCAGCCTATATTGAAAAATCCTTTAGAGGATGCTGAATATGTTGAAATAGCACCGTATCACAAACTAAAATGCATACTCATCAAGTTGCAAGAAGAACCAAAACAAAAAACTCCTATAGCCAATGCATCGCTAACGCCCCTAAGGATAAAACAATTTCAAGAGATTGTTTTAATTTATTTGGATTTTAAACAAAAGGAAAAATTTAGTAAAATAAAAAAATTAAGAAAAACTCAAGTATCATTGCCTATCTGGAAATTTAAAGAATCCTTCCAGAATGCTTTGGAAAAAACACGGGTTTTAATTTTAGCCGGTGATACGGGTTGCGGTAAATCGACTCAAGTTCCTCAATATCTATATGAATTCGGTTATCGCAGCATCGGTAAGTAGTATAACTTGTTTCTTTATTTGCTTATGATTTTATATAAACGTTAAAGCTTGCACGCAACCCCGTCGTTTGGCTTGTGTTAGCTTGTCGAAACGCGTGGCCCATGAAATGCTAGATGATTACGGCTCTAAAGTAGGATTCCAAATACGTTTTGAGAAAAATAAAAATGCATATACAAATATTCTATTTATAACTGAGGGTCTTTTATTGCGCCAGGTATAGATAAAATTCGCTTTTAACAAATCATTCAAACGTGTTTCATTTACAGTTGGCGATAGAAGCTAATCTGGATCAATACGATGTTCTGATACTCGATGAAATTCACGAACGTAATTTATTCGGTGATTTCTTGCTAGGCGTAACAAAGTGTTTATTGCGAGCTAAGCCTAAACTCAAACTTGTACTTATGTCGGCCACCATTAACGTTGATTTATTCCACAATTATTTCAAAGATGGCGGGGCTCAATTATTGAAAGTGCCTGGTCGTCTGCATCCAATAAAAACTGTGTATATGCCGCCAGCAGCATTAAATTTGCAGGGAACATCGTCTCGGTCACAGCAATCATTAGGACGTTTAGATCCCGCCCCTTTTGTACAAGTATTAAATTTGATAGATCAGAAATATTCTTCCAATGAACGGGGAGATGTTTTAATATTTGTAAGCGGTGTTAATGAGATAACTACAGCCTGTGATGCGATCAAAGAATATGCCGAACAGCAACCACATTGGATTCTACTACCATTGCATAGTAGTTTATCTTTGGTGGAACAGGATAAGGTCTATCATATCAAAAACATTTGCACTTCGATTTTTAAAGCGTCAAATATTCTTTTCTTTTTCTGGCTAGGTATTCGATTATGCACCTGAGGGCATGCGTAAATGCATTATTTCAACCAACATTGCTGAGACTTCGTTAACTGTTGATGGTATACGATTCGTAATTGATTCCGGCAAAGTTAAAGAAATGAGTTATGATTCGTCTTGCAAAGGGCAACGTCTTAAAGAATTCTGGGTTTCGAAATCATCAGCTGAACAAAGGAAAGGTCGTGCTGGTCGCACGGGGCCAGGGGTAAATATATTTTCTTATTGATTAAAATTAATATATTAAAAAGCGTACTTTCTAATTTTATCTTAAGACCTGCTTCCGTTTATATTCGGAGAAACAATACAATGCCTTTGAAGCTTATCCCACGCCAGAGATATGTCGTGTACCCCTTGACACTATACTTTTACAAATGATTGCTATGGGCTTACCAAATGTAAGACAATTTCCATTTATTGAGTCACCAGATGAAAATTATATTGAGCAGACTATACTGAATTTAAAACAACATGTATGTTTACGTTTAAGCCTGTTACCTACAAAATATTTTGTAACCAATTTTCCATCGGCAGAATGCTTTAAGTCCAGATGAAAAAATTACTTCCTTAGGAAAATCTTTATCAAATCTTCCAGTGGATATTTCCATTGGTAAGATGCTTCTATTGGGTTGTGTATTTCCGGATATAGAAAAAATTTTAACATTAGCTGCTGTTATGAGTGTTCAAAATCCATTTACAACTCGCGCCTACACGGATCCAAAATGTGAAGTAAGTTTCTCGCTAGTTAAACTTGAAAATTTTTTTAATTGATACCTTTTCTTTCATCGGAAGCAAGCACGTTCTGAGTTTGAAACCGATCAAGGCGACGTATTTGTGCTTCTGAAAGCCTATCATGAATGGTTAGGATTAAAATGGAATAGTGAAAATACCCGTAAATGGTGTTACAAATTAGGTATCGAAGAACAAAGGTATTTAAAAATCAGATGAATAAAAATACTTTTTACTTATACCTAATTCGCTTTCAGGTTTTACGAAATAACTAAACTTCGTAATCAATTTCAAAATATTTTAGAAAGTTGTAATATGACGGCGACGAAAACTACGGATGTTTTGCTCTCCAGTTCCGACCGAGCACGTCGTCATGGCGAAGTACGTATGTTAAAAGCTATAAAACGTAAACAAAAGTACCAGGAGCCACGGAAACGTAAAATACTTAAACAACGCAGTGGATATGGCACAAATGAAGAAGACTTGGAAAACGAAGACGATGATATACGTGATGTTGATTTTCGTTTATATAACAATTCAGCTAAATTAGAGGTAAATATGTTTTTTCTTGTTGCACTTAGTTATTGACACTGAATTCAAGAGAAAATATTGTGCCTGAACAAGCTAGTCATTTATTTTTCTCGTGTAAGAGTTCGAAATTTAATTTAAATAGTGAGACCACTACACTGTCTAGTAGTAGGTAAAAAGCGCGATAATCTACTCAGTCTACACGCGTTCCTATCCAGTCCGTTAGAATTTGCTTCGGCCAGATTACGGCCAAACGCTACCACTCCCTTTCTCCCGCTACGCCTTTCTCGTCTATTACTGTGTTTATTACACCTTAAGTGACGGATTATATTAAAAAAAAAAAAAATAGAATTTTACCTTGCCAGTCATTTTAATGCCTAAAAGTTTTTACGTAGATGCCGAAATACGTATCAACTGAATAGGCCTGAAGGAATTAGATCAGGTCAGTTAGGTGCCATCTATCCTATCTACTTTGCATTCAAGGCAAACTTTACACGAATAGTACGAACTTCATATCTTTGCCATTATTTAAGAGCACAAATGTAGATTTTGGTGGTAGGGGTTTGCTTCAGATATGCTTTCTTATTTCTCAAGTTCTTTGGTCTTAATCTGACAGTTGACAAATAGGCAATGAATGTCTTTCAAAATATGCCTGTTACCCAATTAATAAAATCAACCAAAGATATTATAGAAAGATTAGATAAGAAGATATTGAGTTGCGTTCCAAATAGAAGCAACAACTGAAAATTTTCTCAACTTTGTAATAATTTAAACATTCGCACAATAAGGTTAATCAAGTTTTTTACTTAAATCTTTTGAATTTTTTTGTATTTCATAGATCCTTTTAAAATCATCCAAGGCAGACAAATTACATGATGTGTTATTATTGAAGTTAATCATAGTAAGCGGATTCTATCCGCAAATAGCCATAGCAGATGATTTCAACTATTGCAAAGGGGGCGCCCAACAATTTTTTCATACATATCTTAAACCATTTTTATCTATACATCCTAATAGCTATCTGGCTAAATATTTTGATATACTTAAATTAAATGATGCCGATATATTGGAAAAACCTTCGTATTATACGCCTAAACAGATATTAAGTCAAGCGCATCAAGTGATCTGTTACCAGTTAAGTGCAATGTTTGCCATTTAAAAACAAAAGAAATAAGAAAAAAAAATGTTAAACATTGAATTCATATTTTATGGACATTACAGGAACCTCCTGGAGACCGCTAAACCTTATTTAATGAATTGCACACGAATGCCAGCCGCCCAAACCTTACTATTGTTTTCTTATAGTATCGATACCAATTCTTCCATTACACGTGTGGTTTGCGATTCGTGGTTGTGCTTAGAATTTCCCACACCCGAAACTGGTTGTGAGTTATTGCGTAGAGCCATTAAATTAAGACGTTTGTGGAACCAATTATTAATGCAAAAATTGGCAGGTGAAAGCACAAATTTCGTTGTATCTACTCGCATAGTGAAAACGAATACTTATATTTCTCTCTGCTAAAGATCTTGATCTTCAAATTGAAAAACAAAATACTGATAAAACAGCTAATCAGTGCAATGGAACGGAAGAAAGGGACTTATGGCATGATTTAGTGGATTTTTTGAGTATTCCTGCGGCGTATTCTATTAAACGGTTACTACCGGCCGATCAGAAAACGTTATATACTCATCGTCCATTGGGGATTAAAGATAAGTTTAAAAGAAATCCATTTGCTAAAGATTACGAAATAATACCCAATGACGAGCGAGGAGGTTTAAATATCAGTGAGAATGTAGTATACGGTTGGTAAGTTCTTGAATAGCAACATTTTTATTCTGGACATCCTATATGTGAATATAACAATGTAGTCTTGAAGAACAACAGTGGTGCATGAATATGGACTTAGAACTACGTCAACACAGTTGGTCTTGCAAGTATTGCAACTTGTCTATGGAATATGACATCATTGAGAAGTTATTACACAAAACAAGTAAGTAAACTTGCCTTAGATTACAAAGTGTACAAGTTAATAGTGTCCTTGTTGAATATAAACTTCATAGTCAGATACATATTGGTCTTACTTGTCATATAATTTGTGAAACTGAACTAACTGCTACGTAGATTCAATTGAATCTGTTCAAAAGCAATTCTTGCTGTTTGCCCTTAGAAATTTGGGTTGGGATCCGTTTGCCTCTCTTCCTACCTATGAAAATAGGTTGCTTCTGCTGTCCTTAACGTCTCTTGAGAAACGTAGGTTTGTTCTTGGCGTTTCCTTTGTAATCAAAGTAATAAATGGTGCTATTGACTCGCCTTCATTACTGGGTGAAATAAGCTTTAATATCCCTAACCGCTTCTCTAGGCACTTGGTTAAGCTTAGTCAGTGTAAATATAATTATGAACTGTTTAATTCGCTCAGAGTCGTTTGCAAGAACCTAAATGAAGTCTACCACTTAATCTCGTTATCGGGCTCTTTAAAGTCCATTCAGGCAACATTGCTTAATACGCGCGATTTACCTATGTCGTACTTAATCTAGCTTTTATCCTGAAAAAGTCGTTGTGATTCGAAAATGAATTATTGTTAATTATTATCGGTTGCCAGGCTTATGCATGTTTGTGATGGCTTAGGGGTTCATTTGCAATTTGGTCCTGTACCGGTTGTAAGTGTAGCTCTATGCTGATTGTGTACATGCTTTTTTTTTTTTTTTTTTTTTTATTTGTTTTATTATACTTATACTAAGTTGTATTATTAATTAATATAAGTTTTGCATTCAGAGCCAATTGAACTCAACTGTTACTTGTTTAGTTGAGTTTCATGTACAAGTAGAATTAAAATAAATAAATAAATAATAAAATAAAAACTGATATTATAATTATATCGCTTGGTGTTTTTTTTTTTTTTTTTTTTTTTTTTTTTGTTCCCGTTTTATTGGCTTTTATTGGCACTTCCTAAGTTATTCAAAAATAATATAATGAAATTTCAAATAAACCGTGGGCCATAATAAGCGTATTTTGAGTGCATTGAATAACTTGGCAAATATAAGCAGCAATTAGAATTTAAAAAATTAAACACAATGCTTTCATACCCATAGAAGATTTTCAAGGCTTTCAATCAATTGTAAAATACAGGCATAGAAGATTGGGGGTAATATACGAATTTTTTCAAAACATGTCACGTTTTTCGACCTTGCGTCTTTAGTTTTTGTCCGTTTGCATGGGCATTGTATCCGCAGCTTCAAGTTTCTAGTGAGTATTATGGCATCTTTTCAATGTATTAAAATTGCCAATTTTGTTGGAAATTATCGAACTATTTTTCAAGACACTTAAGAGGGAAATGCAATTTATTTCATTTTTGTACTCTACAAAACGCAGGCAACACCGGACGGACTTGAAATAGATTCACTTTTTATTACAGCGACCTATTTAATATCAGTTTTTAAACCGACTTAAGCTTGAAAGCTTAAGAACGTCTGCCCGACTTGTATTCTTTTGTTGAACCTACCGCCCACAATTTTTAAGGCATTTTTCTGAAATTTGATACACTGACGTGTTTTGGCGCGAGAACCAATGCTATTGAAAATGGCTTGCATCGCACCACTTTTTCGATCTCTTCCAATATAGTTACTTACTTTCAAAAGTCATTGTAAAGAGTTGTAAAGTATTTAATTTTTTATTATTAAATTTAATTTTTGCTTGTTTTAAAATAATTTTTCTGAAAATATCGCATATTTTTAGAAAGTTTATCTTTATTAGATTTTGCGCACAACACTGATCTGGATACCATACGTTACGAAATGAAAGAATTGCTTTTCCTGTGGAAACTTGTAGGACACTTGTATTTATAAAAAATTCGAAATAAGACTTTTATATAACTTCACTTTCATAGGTAAAATCCATCGTCTTAATAAATTCTCCTATTCTTTTAAAATAATTGCAGTAAAATAATTCTATTTTTAGAAAACATAAGGTATCGCCTCCTAATAGGAAGAAAGAATGGCTTAATACCATCTATCTAAAGATTATTATTACTATAATTCAATTAATTCTAGCTACAAATTTCCAGTTACCGTTGAAGATATTAGATAGGACTAAAATAGTAAACTAGGATTTAAACATGAGAACAAATAACAAAAGTACATAAAGGGACATAGATTTACATTTTAAAGATTTAGCAAAGAACAAACAGCAGATCAAGCTGCGCTCACCATATAGTGACCATGTGATTTGTCTATTATAACCTAATCCTCGCTAGAACACCATTTGAATTCTAAATTAGGACGCTTAATACTGTGCTCGAAGTAAATAGGACGAATAGTATACAAGATCATTACTACATCATACTCAATTACAAATGGATTTCAAATAGATTGAAGCTAAAGGCAATATTATCCGAATAATGCAAAAATTTCGTGCAAACTTTTTTCGTACGCTATTGAAAATGTTTCGGATCGGTCCACGTTTTCGACCAAAAAAATTTCAATTTTCAAAATTTTTTGAAAAGTACTTCAGCATTCTAAGTTGATATGAACAATTTGGTTCAGCTGCGGTAATTTTTTGACCCTCCTCTCATATAACCGTTTTGAGGTCTATTTGTTTTGATAGCACCACATATAAGGATTCTTAGGAAATTTGACTCTTTACATGTCAAAAAGGATTAATTGTTAATGTTTTATGATGAAAATTTGTTAATGTGGCATAAAAATTAAGTGGACGAAATTTGAAGTGCACGTGTCTATATTTCTTGTACCCAACTCTATGTAAGATTACTTATAAATATTAATACCTTTTGAAAAAGATTTAATTTTTAATATTACAGGATGAAAATTGGCCTATAATAGCTATTAGGCAAAGAAATTAACGGTAGAGAATGAGGATTACATGGGCCTATTTTTTAGATCCTAACATATTTATATAGGAGTCGTCGTGAAGATCAATCCTTTACAAGGAGAAAAGTTCAACTTCTAGTTTGTTATGATGGAAACTCAAAAACAATATAAGCCTCACAAAGTAAATTAAATTTGCTAAACTTTGGCTCATGCCATACGATTTTTTGGGAATCGTTCAAAATTGCTGACTTCCATGAAAAGTATGTCTGCATGAAAATAATGTGTAATTTTTGGTGTGCTATTGCGTAATGGTTTATCTTGCTCGTCTATAATGCCCTTACTTGTTTTTTTATTAATTTTTCCTTCCGTTCGTCTTTATATTAAATGATGGTTCAAATTGTTTTATTTTAGATTCGTAGCGTTAAGTGTTATTGACACCCGTTGCAGTCTATTCTCTTGGCTAGCATCGGTTTTAGGCGTTGTGACTTTTTATCATCAATAGCAATTAACAGACATATATTAATTAACAAGTGCAACTAATTTAAATAACTTTTAATATCAAAGCAATTAGGTATCCCAAATGGAACGAAAATAGGTATCACAAATAGAACGAATGTATGCTGAATCTTCAATATTTGATTTAATATGAATTATGCTATGTCTCGGGAACTCAATCTTACCTTCGGTGCTTACAAAATAGTTTATATTGCATGAAAGTTTTTGGAAAAGTATTGTTCACGTAAAAATAATAGTATTCGTGTTGAAAAGGATCCACTCAAGTCATCTGCGGTTTGAAGTTAGTATATAAAAAAATTATATTGTTCTTATCTTTAGACGTAGAATATTACAGTGTTAAAGTGAGTGAAACCTTTTTCAATGTCTTGCAGACTCAAGACAAATAATAGAAAAACAAAATTTTATGGTTTGGTTGTCAGGTAACAGTTCAAATATATTTGTTTCACCGAATTTCTATTTGTGAACCTCTGTTGAAATGTATCAGATCATCTTTCGAAGGAGGCCAAAAAGAACGATTCCAACAGTGCTTAAACAAAAAAATGTTGGATTGAGAAAAAACCTGTGACAAAACATTGTGGCGTCTTGCAGAATCGAAAATGTATCGTTCAACTCTTGCTCGCTATAGCAACTGGGCGAAGCAAAAGACTGAAAAATTCAGATCAAATAAATATTTAATCATTTTTGAAAAATTAAGAGACTTGACTAACAGATTTTTTTATGGATTCATTAAATGGGCTTAAACGTAAACACTTATTTTTAGTTGAATACTTTTTACGATATTAAGTTAGTTCTAAAGGAACGCCAAACATAGTCTTTGGATTAGTAGCACAATTTGGTGCGATTGATAATCAAACAAATAGTGCATGCGTGCCTCATATGCGGTGGTCCATTACATTACTTTCCAATAGTAGTAAATTCATTTCCAAAGTCTAAAGGTTTTTAACACTATGATTAAAATCAGATCGTATGATCTAACATTAAAATAAATTAAAAAACGTAATTAACTCTTCTGTTTTTTTCTTTTCTTTTTTTCTAGACTGTAAGAAGCGTTTAAAAGTTGAAAAGGAGGAACATTCTACAAAAATGCAGGACAATTTCATGAATTTGATGACGCAAAATAAAAACAAAATATCATTTAAATGTTCGACATGTGACAAACAGTTCATCTTAAGTCAAATTGAGATCTTAAAACATAAAAAAAGTCATCATATATAATATAATGGGAAATGATTCGAAATACGCAATTCATATATTCAATAATTTTTTTAAACTTGTAAATTAGTTTAAAATATGTTCAATAAAAATTTGTTCCTGACTATAATACAGGCATGGAATTTACAGCATAATAAGTCAATAATCATTATTGTAAAATACAAATTATAATAAATAAAAGTATAAATGTACGTTATATCCGACATTTTTAAACAAAAAACTTTTCGGATAATTGCTTCGAAAATGCTAAGCCGCAGTTCAGTCACTTTATTTTAGTGTTTTATGCGTAGTCAAATTTGGCGCCAATCTTCGGAATACGAGGCGGTTTCCTACGTGTAGTGCAAATAGGCTGTCAAAGAAGAAAAAAATTTAGAGCAATTTTTCACAAAAAAAAAAAATATATATATATATATATATATGTATATATATACAGTACTTTTGGGCTGTCGCTTTGATTTGGCAAACTGGCATGATTATCATTTGTTTCATTTAACGACAATTGAGTTAACTTAAAAGAAAAGAAAATTTTAATATTATATACTCCGAAGCACACCCTTGAAGAAAATCTCCGAACTCGTTTAACGTAAAAAAAATTTTTTTGTGAAAGGCCAAATTTAAAATTTATTTAGTTTTATTTTATTTATGGACCGTAGATCTATATCAGTCCTAGCAAATATTAGGAACGAATATCAAATCGACTGTTTCTAATGTTTTTAAATTTTTGGTATTCTGTTCATCTTGTAATGTCCAATTTCAACCTTCAGCCATGAATTCAATTGTAAACTTAATTTCCGACAATGCTTCAAAAATATATTGCAATGTGACAATTCTAGCATCGAATGTTTTTTGTGGTAAAAAACATGCGATCTTTTTTCATAAAGCAATAATTTGTGTTTTAGCAAAAGAAGTCAGTCGGATCTATATGATAAAGTAAGTTTATTGATTCGTCGAACAAATGTCCTTTAATAGAATAAATCTCTTTCATAAGAAAGAACTTTTACAGAAAAATAAGATAAGCGCGACTAGGAATTTATTTAACAAGACTGAATTTACTCGGCACAATAAAACAAGCCGTTATGCGTTTAGTGCAAAAAACATTAATCAAAACGTTTAGACGGATATGATCAAATCGAATAAAAATATCACACTGATAAAAAAATGTATAAGATTAATGATACAAATTAGTAGGCTCGAAAATCTTACCTCTGTTGCTATTCTTTCGCTTCCATTTTTATCGGTGCTGCTTCGTTTCGAAGTATTACCGTTGCTGACAACTGCTGTCGCTTGCTGTTGACAAAATTCCTTGCTACGAACAACTTGTAAAGGTATGAAAGCGCCCTTTTGATTTAAACTATTTGAGTTGAATATTTTATCATTGCAAAACTGTTGATTGTCGAGTGTAGTCGGCATTTTAGATGGTTGTGCCGGCTGATGAAGATAATGATTGTATTGTTGGCCAGGAGACTATACGAAAGAAAAAAAGAAAAAAAAA